GCGCGGCGAGCATGTGACGCGACCCTTGACATTACGCCCTATCGATCGTTTATTTATGCCGAGGGATGATTTATCAAACTTTAAGGGATCTCGAGGAACTATCTCGCGGCCCCGGCGTATCAATTATTCTCGCGTTTCGCCCATCCCGTACATTTATACGCGCGGAATGCGAGACGGCACGCGAGTATGCGCGGAATCGAGGAATCCGCCCGGCGTTCGCTCCCGTGATACGTGTGCTCTGTGTGCGTGTGTCGGGTGTGTGTATGTATGGCGGTTACGTCGATAGGAATATCCGTGCCGCGTGACACAAAGGAGCCGAGGGTTGACGCGCGCTCGCATCGACTGTGTCGCCTTCAATGGACGATGACGTAAGTTACGTCTGCTCACGCACGATTACGCGGCGGATCGAGCCGCTGTAAGTTCAAGTATGCCGCGAGACGAAGGCGCCGTCGTTGCGGCACCGTTTATTAAACGACCGCGGCGAGTTTAAGCCCGTTTTAATCGGACCTTGGCTCACCCCGGGGAGAAAAGTCACGTCCCGCGGAATATCCCGGATCTGCCGCGCCGCGGAAACTTGGAATAACAAGTTCCTTAACGTATATATAAAAATAGACTTCTTCCTCCGGCGCGACGGCAAGCCATTGTTCGTCGCGACATTTTATCGTACTCGCGCGAAATTTCAAACGAAAAATCCTCTTTTCGGCGCACCGGAAGCGGACGGGCTGCGGTGCCCTCGGTGGCGGGGAAGAGACCGCGCGCAATTATCGGAATGCAAATCGCTCGAGCGCACACGTGCCGACGCGTGCTCTTTTTCCCCGCCCCTCCGTAGACGCCCGGCGGGAGAAACGGGCGATCGCGCGAGATAACGAAAACCCGCGCGTCACTCGCGCGCGAGCGGCGCGGGAGCGAAAGTGATGGGCGGCTGCAGCGCGGTCTGCGCCGCACTGATAGAAAAATATGTAGTATTTGAAATAATTCTAGTCAGGAATATCATTTTTAGAGTAATTACTATAATATGAGTAATAGCAACTATATAGACACAGTGATGCCAACGATTTAAAAAGTTTACTATAAAATATAAGCTTTTAACTATTATTCTGTTAAAATGCCCAGGTAATGAACAGTAAAATAGTTAATTATTTTTATATAGTAAGTACGATCACGATAATAGTAAATTTAACTACATTTCTATCATCCACCTTACCAATCATATGGTAAACAAAAGGGAAGTGGTTCGTAATGTCCTCGCTAGAGGGACGCGCGGTGTAAGACTTTCTCGTAATATAAATTATAGTGAGATTGTGGTAACTGCAACCATTTTTTTTCTATCAGTGCGTGCTCGGGAGAATACAGCAAGGGGGTAACCACTAGCTAAAATGTTGTCCCACCGATTACATGATTTCATACGATTTCATCTGATTACAAATAATTTCGTCGAATTGCAAATAATTTTCTTAAAGGCGACGCTGTTAAGAGCTGTTAGATTTCCTCAAAACATTTTATCTTTTTGATTTTACTAATAAGCATTTGCTTCTAGAGGTAATTTCAATTAAGATTGTAGTACTCGGTTAGGTAGAAAACGTATTTCCTCGCTTCCCATTTTTCCCACCAGTCCAACCCTGGTCTTATTGTTAGCGAAAAGTAATTTTGTATTTGTATCTACTGTTTATTGGTCTGAATTTACGCGCAAAGGTGTATCAGCTCACTGTCCTAACAGCAACCACTTCAGTCTTATTATGAAAAAAATAATACGCGCTCATAGACGTGAACTATGATGTATATTTGGATATTCACTGAAAGAAGTAAATTTTTCGAGAAAATGAAAATGTTGAAATTTAACGTGCATTGTCTAACAAGTGAAGAGACTTGAAAATGAAGGCAAAACGATTACATGGAGATTTCGTAAGGATTTCATAATGATTTCGGAGGCACTGTCCCATGATTACATTGAGTGGGTTACCCCCTTGGAACGCAGGGTGTCCTAGTCGCGGCGCGACGCAAGTCGCACGCTTCCTCGCGGGAGAAAGTCCTCCGAGGCGTCGTCGTGCACGGCGCGCGGTGATCGATACCATCGCGCGGCTCTCGAGCGGATCGTGCGGCTCATATTGACCGGCAATTTTCGCGCCGAGGGAAGGTCACCGGCTAGCAGACATGTCACAAGCGTCGTAATCGCGGCGCGATCGATCGCGGCAATCGAATCGACGTTAACCCGGCCTTGTCAGTCTCGCGGTTCCAATCGCACGAGCCGTCGCTAATTAAAATTTTCGAAATATCGCCGGGGCACCTGGGAAATACCTCGCGTCTAAACGCTGATACCGTCCAGATAGGAATCTAGGGTATTTCTTTGACTTCGCTGCTATATTTTCGTTTCCTCGCGCCGACTTGTACGGTCATTTAGATTGCGTACGTAGATAAGATGGATCTCGATCTCGATCTCGGCGGTTATCACGAGGGATTGTACGACAGAATTCGATATTTAGTCGTCGATCGTTCGTATCGTTATTCATTCGGGACGCGACGGTCCCCGGGATTTGCTGATCGGATAAGCAATTCTACAGCGATCTTGTATTCGGGTTCCATTTCATTAAATACCATCGAAGCTAAATATCTTTTAAACGTTGTACCTTGAACGTACTATGGTTTATAAGTAAATATTCCTGCTAAGAGCCAACTTTCCAATATTTTCTGGATTGGTAAAAATATTCACGAAACCGTTTCAAAATTTTCCGAGCATTAATGTACCTTACGCAAGTACATGTCTAAAAATGAATTGAGTCTTTTCGAGTGCATTCTCGTGTACGCCGGTCCTTCTTTGTCTTCTCTGTCGTTTTATGTAAAGGAAAATCTTCTATTATGAAACAGGTTCCTAATATGAGATAGCAGAGTTTTACCGCGAATCTATTGCCCTTGGAGTGAAATCCGTTTAGTGGAAAGCTGATTGTTAGATCGTGTAATCGTTGCGAAAAAAAGATTTGCGATTGAATTTGGACGTTGAAAACCTGCTGTCTCGTATTAGAATCCTCACAATAGAGGACTTTCCTATATACGAACCACAAAAAGTGTGCCTTTAGACAAAACGAATCGCCTGCACTGGTCACTCTCTAAAAATCAATCGGTGGGTTATCAGTTCATCACTGGAAACAGTGAATAGTCACTGATTTACAGTTATAAGTATACCACTGAAAATCGCATCGTGGTATACTTACAACAGTAATTCAGTGACAATCCACTGATTGACTTTTAGAGAGCACTTGGACCGCGAGGGGTTGCAGCTCGGGAAGGAGGACTTTTGGCGCGAGTTATCGCCCGACGTCGAGACGGAGAGCGACGGCACGAGCTCTGGGATCTTGTCGGACATAGTCCTCGTGCCGATCGCCGTTGTCCGCAGGCTCGACGGGCGCATGGCCGATCCCTGACCGCGGTAATGTCGATCGATATATCGGGAATGGCAGCCACGGCACGGCACGGCACGGCAGGGCACGGCAGGGCCGCGCGCACGTCACGCTACACGTTATAGGTACGCGGCGAGACACGCGGGGCCCGTGCGGCGCGCACACCTTGGCAATTCGATTCCTATCGCGCCTCGTAATCGAGACCTCGTTACCGCCGATGTAAACGGCGACGTGCACCGCGACGCGGGTCGCGACGCAGCCGACGCAGGCCGCCGAGGGCCTGCACGGGAGCGTCGCGAGCGCCGCGCCGCACGCGCCAGTGGAAGTGGTCGAATCAACGACTGGTCAGACGTAGCGTCTACTCGCGGCTGACACGCTTCGCTTCGATCATCCCCAGTGACTCTTATAGTCACGCCCGGGGAAACTTTTTCACTACAACGCTTATACAACGCTGATGCCCGACATATTTTTACCGTCGCGCCGACCAAAGAAGGTAGACCTTTCAGGTGGGAAGCATAATAGTGCAAGTGTCACGCCGCTATTTTCTTCTTTCTCTTAGAAATAACGCTCTCTCCCGGTTGTGCGCGAATCTAGCGCTTCGCGACGGTGGCCCAGCTGGCTAAAAGTCAAGTATCTGAGCGCTGATACGAGTAGCCTGAGCTAAGGGGAAAACGGCCGATCGTTAATCTGGTTATTTAATATCCCGTCGGTGCAGCTCGGATTTAACGCCGCGCTTGGAAATTCTATTCTAGACAATTTCTCCTCTGCCAACCAGAGGTCACTAATAGATATTCTCCTAGATCCTTACTGACACCGAATGCCAAACCCGCGGATTTGTACCACTTTAGATGTATCAGTGGTGCTATTATGGATCCATCATTACTCCCACGTTACGTGCCAGCCATTATCTTATTAATATATATCATTATAATGTACGCCCCCGTATGTCTCTACAGCTTTGCTTACTTGCGCTATATTTACGACAGCTACGCCCGTGGTCCTGCGGAATGTCAAACAGTCTATTACCGCCGATACCGGACGCCTGGTTAAGTGCTCTTAGTTTTCGAGGATTACCGATAACTCGTTATTTATGAATGGGACGAGACAGTCGCCGCGGTAATCGGGCGAAACGGAAAAGTATGAATCTTTATAAACTACCTATCCCCGAGAATTGTTCCCCGGAGGTTTGTCGAAGCTTGTACAGCAGCCGTGTATTTCAACGTCGCGAATCTCTTCACGTTGCTCGCCTCGGGACGAACGACTCGCGGCGATCCGATTTAAGAGAGACAGATCGCGTTCCCGAACGGTAGACTATCGTGCGGAGAAACGAATCGATAGGTCAAACTTTGTCGCGTTATCCGTAACGAGCTGCTTCGATTGACTCGACAAACGCCGTATTCTCCAATTATACCGTCCGAACTTGGGCGAACGAAATGAGACGGCACGCGTCACTTTGACGCGAGTTACGCGACAGGGGCGAGCTTAAAAGCCGCGACAGACGCTCGAGAGAGAATGTTTGAGAGAAAAACAGGACGACTTTCGGACGCTCCTGTTGTTGGTCTCTCGGTGGAGACACGCGTGACGATGTGCACTCGAGTTGACACTTACGGTTGAGGAGGTCGAACACTCCAGCGTAGATAGTCACCGCTGCGAACGTAAAAGTGAAGCGCAACGTAGCGATATGGAGAGAAGAGAGGCACTGCGACGAGTCGAGCGGAGAGAGAGAGAGTGAGAGAGATTGAGATAGAAGAGAGAAAGAGAGAAAGATAGAGAGAGAGAGAAAGAGAGAGAGAGAGGGAGGGCGCGGGGGCGGGGGCGGGTTCTGGGATACCTCCGCGGGCCTTGCTCGAGATGTAGGGGTAGCACAACCGAGCACCGTGAGAAACGACACACCGAGATGCACTTTCACACCGACGATGCTGAAGAAGAACGACCGACGGAGACGTGTGCGGCGCTACAATTCCGCCTCGCGCGATGTCCCTCCACCTGCGCGCGTATACGCGTGCCGCCGTGTGTACACGCGTGCACGGACCCTCTCCGCTTGCTCCGTCGCGCGCTACGCCGAGTCTCGCTCCTTCTTTCGCCCCTTTTCCTTTCAGCCCTCGGGCGACGATGGCGACCACGGTAGTACGGGGCGCTCTTCGGTTTCGAGTGACTTTCCCTTCTCTCTACCTTCGCGCGTCGTGCGGTTTCTATTCTCCCTCGCTCTGTCAACACCTCTCTCTCCCCTTTGGTATTTTTCTTCTTGTTCCTTCCGTCGCTTCTTCCTCCTCCCGATTCTTCTCCTCCGCCTTCTTCTCTATTCTTCACCGCAGCGGCAAGGACCCGCCCCGTGTCGCGCTACACGAACGTGTAGTGGATGAAGAGAGCGTAAAACTTGCTCTGCGACAACATTATCCGGCCGGTTATCGGTGCCTCGGTTGCCTCGTCATTTCGTCTCGCGTCCGTCCTACGGTCTAAGCCGCCCGCGCGCCGCAACGAAAATTGATCGCGTTGCGCGCGACGGTCCCTTCCTCGGGGGACAGGCCCGTCGACGCGTCCGTGTCCGGCCGCCGCGTCGCCCGTGTTGACGCGGGGCTACTCTCCTTAAACACACCGGGGTCCGTTCACGTAGGTCCGCTACCACTTCTCTCGCGCTGCGCCACCCTTAGCTGCTCCAAGCGCGCTGGGTCCGCGCGCGGCGGCTCTTTCTTTTCCACTCCCTTTGTTCTTCACCCGCGACTCTCACCGCCGCACGTTCGTGCGCGCCCACACACACACGCGCACACCCGCGGGACGGCCACACACACAAAGACAGCGCGCGCGCACCCTCTCCACGCGTGCGCGCGCGCGCACGCGCGTGCATACGCTCACGGACACGCGCTAACACACACACACACACACACACGACGTCGGACGCTGCCAAACGCACGCGCGCGCGCGCGCCAACGATCGTTCTCTTTATCCCTCTCGTTTCAACCCTCCCTCAGCGGCCGCGTTCCTTCTCTCGCTCAGCTATGTCCTCCTTCGCCACCTCCACCACCAGCACCACCTACCACCGCTCACTCTCGCCCACTCTTTCCTCCCCTTCTATTTTTCTCCGTCTCTCTCTTGTGACCCTCCTTCACCCTCTCCCTCGCACCGTCCCTGCACCTTCTCGGCGCGCGCTGCGTCCGATCCGCTGGACGTCTCACCCTCGGAGCAACGCGGCCGGCACGTAGGGTCGCTTTCTTTCTCTCTCTCTGGTAACGCCAAGCCCCGAGGCCTTCGTTCCCCGCGCGCGAGTCCCTCACGTCGTCGGCACTCTCGGCGAGTTCACCCCCCGAGCTCTCGCGCGTACCACGTACCCCTTGGGTTCCTTCTCGCGCGTTCTCTCTTCGTGCGCTACTTGGTGCCGCGAAAGCGACTCTCCTCGGTGCCGACTGTGCCGCGATCAGCCTCGAGCCGACGCGAACCGCTACTGCATCGCCACGCGCCAGTCCCTCGCGCAGCGGACTCCGCGGAAACTAGTCACGGGGCACCCCGCTCCACGCCCGCTATACCTCATTCGCGATCTGCTACGCGAACCAACCGACCGACCAACCCCCCGCTACTCCGTCGACCACCCTGCGCCCTGCAGAGCCGCGATTCCGCGCCGTGACCGACGGCGCGACGATCCTCGACCCTCGAGGACGATCCTGGCGGGATCGAGTTTTGCGACCACCGCGCGACCGGCGAGCGGAATCGTCTCGAGGGTGCGAGTGGTCTCTTTCCTTTCCTCCCGCGAGCCTGCCCGCGGCGTAGCGACGGTACCGCCGAGACGGCACGGGGCGAGATCAATGCTCCGTTCAGGGCTCCGTAAGTGCTTGCGTGGTGCGCCTCCACGTAGCACGGGGTGGATCAATGAAAACGTACCCCTCCAGCGCGGCGTCGTCGTCGACGTAGCCCCGCGCGCCTCCCCTCGCCGCGCCGCGCCACGACGGAGGGAATCGCGGTGCCCTACCGCGCCACTCTCACTACCGCCGCCTGAAAACGTTCACCCGCACCCTCTACGGCCATACCCGCGAGCCTCGGTAAGCTCGCCCGCGAGGTTCGTCGCCGCGTTGCGGACGCCGACGTCTCCGTCGGCCCGGCGCAGTTCTCACTCGCGATCCAACGGTTCTCCCGCCTCGCCCTTGAGCCTCTTCTTCATTTTGCGGGGAAAATATTAAAGGGACTGCGCTTAGATACGTTGACAGATGAAAGTTTAATGAGAAGAGCGAGAGGATGACGGAGAGATGAATTAAAAGCTGAGACGTGAATGAAGATGAATGCTTGCAGTCTCCGTATATTTGCGAAAAATATAGCACTATGTGAAATACACAGGAAATATAGCGAGATATGTCTCGTCATAGTGTACTTGGTACTTAAATATTAAACGGGAACGAATAACGTCATAAAGAAAAGTATATAAAATGTCGTACTAACTTATCGTATATTTCGTAAATCGTGCATACAATCGGCGTTCAATTATAAATTGCCTAGAAAAGTTCAATCATTCGTTGTAACAAATTAACGTGCCGTTCTCTCATAGCGCATAGCGCAAAAGAAACGTTATTGCTTTTATCCTCTTTATCGAGCGTCAACGAACAACGCGTTCTCGTAAAATATCGAAACGAAGAACCAGAGGGCTACGCTAGAATCTCGACAAGAGCTAGATACGTTATGAGAGAACGAATTATCACTCACGCTTATCACACTGATATATCAGATCCGAGCTAATGATTCGTGTAAAAATATATATATGTATGTGTTGTATAAATATAGGAATATCTCTTTGTGAAGAATAGGTTGTGTAGTAGCGATGCACCTAAACGTACACGCGACATACGAAGAAACCACATGGCACACGAGCGGCGAGTGCTTCACCGGCTTAAATATACGTTGCCATGCCGTTTCGGCATTTTGCGAATGCAAAGATACAGGCCGGTGATGACCATAATGAGCAAAGGAAGGCCAAGGCCGATCGAAATAATCATAATGACTAGAGAAGAGAACCTCTCCTCGGGTGGTGTGCCGTATCCGATCACGAAAGTCCTGCAAAGCGAGACATCTCGTTAATTGAAGCAGCCAGGGAAATTTGACTTGTGACTCGCCGTGGAATTTTCTAAGTAAGAATTGACAACAGTTTCGTAACCGACGACTCACCACGTCAGGTAACTCGTCTTCTTGTAAAAACCGTCTCCTCTCGAGCCCAGGGAAACCGTCAGCTTCTGCAGCAAAAGATCGTCCGCGGCTTCGCCGTAGTAACAGTAGAGCATCGAATTTTTAATGGCGCTCGAATGATTGAACACTTGTTTTGGTGGATACTGGACTGTCCCCGTGGAACTGGTTACGTCGCGCGACGCGGTATCGTACGACACCGGCCGCCATTGTAAATACGACCCGGCGTTCAGCGCGCCGTCCAGTTCCCTGTAGGGTGGCGTTCTAACTTCGACAACCTGAAGAAAAAGAAAAGCACATGATAATACTTTCAATTAAAATACACGCGAAAGCAGCGAGACGGAGAGAATTTTCTCTTAAAATTTATCCTGAAGATTGTATGATCGTGGGACACGGCATTTTATGAGTATTTAGGTAAAATTTCACAAAACCCTCATAAAGTTCTTCAAGATGCCACGCTGTTCCACGATGGCGTGATTTTCAGAGAAAATTCTCTCCGCGTGCAATAAATGTACGCGATCGTTACCTCGAATATACCCGGGGTATGCTCGTCGTCGAGGCTCTTTTTCGGATCAACGAACATCGGTACCTCGGGATCGCCACCGCCAACCGCGAGCAGCTCGATAGCGAATCTGCTGTTGGAAAAGGTTCCGTTGGTCTGGATGTGGTCGAGGATGATGTCCACTTGCGTGGAGTTTTCGGTGTGCAACATGTGCGGCAACGTGTCCGAATGGTCGACGGTGCAGAATCCTCGGAGCTGGCGAGCGAAAGAGAGAGAGAGATGTTTAAGTGTACTACGTACAAACGTGGTACAAAGAAGCCATGTGTACATATGTTCAGGCTCAAGCTGAAGCTGGCGCTCGCTTGACCGAGCTGGTGAGATTACATTCGCATGCGTCGCTACGTACTACCGAAATACTTGTTCTTCAATGCTGCAGAAGACTTTACCGAAAGCTTTATACTCCCGTATCTGCTGATATCCTTAGCTGTATCGTGATAAGAGTTACCCTCCATATCCAGGTAGACGAACTCGCTCTTTTGCGATAGGGAAAGGCGCCGCCAGGTGAAATACTCGGGACGCAATACGTTATTAATGACGTCGGCAGTGTCAATCAGTGCCGTGTCATTTACGTCGTTGAATTCGATAATCTGTAACACGCAACGCACACGGTTATTATTCAACGCAAACGCTGGCAAGTCGTAACAGATGACGAAATTGGGTCACCCGACGATGAGCGATTCAACCTACGTAAATACAATTCGCGATTTCTCCCGCGTATAATTGCACATTAGCGCGCAATAAGACTGACTTAAACCGCAACGCGTCGACGTCGACGTGACGCGCCCGAAATTCCCGCGGGCGAAATCCGCTCGCCCGTTGCCGCGGGCAATTCCATAGCTTTGCACGCGACCATTAATTCGGCCGAACAAGACGAACCAGCCGTCAATTGCGCGCTTTACAAAGGATTAGTTCCGCGAGTGTCGTGCAGCGTTCGTCGAGTGAGAATCTTAGAATGTCCCGACGACACGAGGTGTCGCAAATGGAGATTTGTGTAAACATTTGTGTTACTTTGCCACGTCGAGACACACTTGAACGTGGCGAAACCGTAAAGGCATATGTCCACGACGTCCTCGAACTTGGCCCAAGTTGTACAACACTTTCGAGAAATGTGCTTTTATGGAATAGCTGCAGGTTGATTGGCTACACATTTCTCGGAACTAGAACGTGGACCAAGTTCCAGCATCGTGGACGCCAGGCCTTTAACGGAGATACGTGCGCATTCTCATCTCGGGGAGAAGAGAGGCTCGAACACTCGGCTTGAAGAGAGGCTCTGCGAGAAATGAAGACATTGTGGAGTGCGAAGGTTTAATTAAGAAACCGCGGATGTATCCTCCACGCTCGGCAGGGGAATTGCGACGAGTGGATTCGTGCCGGCTCACTCGGGTTTACGTCCACGTTTGGCGGCGGTAAATTGGAGCAATGAGTAATCATCGGTGTAATGCGGGTTTTTAAGCATTTTTTAACACGCTATACTTTCATATTTCTCTATAGGCGTGTATCTACATGTGTCGTTGCACTTTTGTCAAATTCTATTCACGCGTCCCCCGGCAAAATCTCATTAACATCCAGCGCTCGTTTCCGCATACATTTCGCCGCTCGTCTATATAAAATTCGTCTAACGCGGATTTGCATAAATATCCATTGTTATATTTGGCGCAATTTGTTGATATCACTACTCTCGTAGGGAAGATAAACATATTTTTTTAACAAAATATTTCCAACTAATTAAATCGTACAGTTCTTGCTCGGTTCGCACGCTTGTACTTGGCGTCTTTTTGTTACCTTTTTAAAAAAGGTAATTCTTTTTTAGTTCGTCTAACGCGAAGCTTGGAAAGATCAATTGACATAATTCGCAACCTTGAGACTTGGCAGCGAAAAGTGATTTTCACAACCTTAATCGCCTCTCGATATACACGGGGAGAATTTTCTCTTAAAATGACTCCTGAAAATCATGTAGTCATAGGACAGCACGGCACTGCGAAGAGTTTTATGAGAGTTTTTCAAATTTGACTAGTAAAGTGTGTGGCAAAATTTCAGAAAACTCTCATGAAGTTCCTCAAAATGCCCCCCGCGATTTTGAGGGTAAATTTTCCGAGGAAACCCGTGTACGCAGCTCACCCCGCCGAAACGAGGCAGATTTCGCCGACTATCCGTTAAACGAACTCGTAGCCGTTGAAAGGGCCCTCGGGAGAGTTTACCTTGTTTATTATCACCCCGAAAGAGTAGGCGGGCCTCTCCGAGAAACTGAGCGAGTTCTCCCGTCTGGCGAGATAATCGGGCCAACTGATGTTGAGCCAGGCGGAAGGCGTCGTGAGCGCCAGCAGCACGGACGGGGTGCCGACGAAGTCCCACAGGTAGTGCAAGGTGTCGTTGGCGCCGTCGGCCCTCAGGTAGATCGCCGTCACGTTTCGCACGCGGCACGGCTCCTCGCAGCCCGGGTTCACCCACGAGCGCAGCTAAGGCATAGGATAGAGCGGGCGTTTATACGCAGCGTTACGCGCGGAGATTAAACGACGTCGTATTAACGGACGGATGGCCTAGATCAGTGCCGGATCGCGCGGCCTTGCCGTTCCTACGAGTCTCCCCCGTCGAGATTATTATCGCGCACGAAACGGCGTTGCACCGTTACGCTGACGCGCTATCTGCGAGCCGTCGTGCGACGAAAGCTACGCGCGTTTCCCCCCTCGTCGCCCCTTTTCATTCGCGAAACCCGCGCAAGAGAGAGAGAGAGAGTTACGCGCAATACGCTCGGCCGTTCTGTCGTAGTGTTTTCTCCGCGAGCACGGGGGGGAGATCCGGCGTTCTCGCGTACGCTAAGATAATCACGCATTTTGCGCCTTTCAATGTATTCACGAATCATATTTCTGACGCACCGACAACGAAATACAAGGTAGAGAACGAGGTGTAAACCCGCAGGTGGGGCATTGTGGTGCACACAGGGGTTCGATTACGAATCTTTTCCTCTAGCTCGTGAAAGGTGAAATGTTTCATTGAAGAACTCAGTAGTTTCGATAATAAATTTCGTTTATTAGTTTTATACGCTTAAAACGGATGGTTTTGGAAATCTAGTTTCGTATGTATTAAATTTATTTTAATTTTTATGATTTTCTTTTGTTATTATTTAATATAATATATATATATATATAGAGAGGAAATCTACATTAGCCTATTATGAGATGGGCGTTGAATATGAAATAGAGTTTCTGCTAAATAAATAGGCATCGTCTGTTGGTTCCACCATGAATTTATTACGTTGGAGTAAAATCTGCTTCATGGAAAATAGATTGCTAGATCGTGTAATCGCTGCGAGAAAAGATTTGCGATTGAATTTGGGTGTTGAAAACCTACTATCTTATATTAAAATCTTATCTCGTAACAGAGGACTTTGCTGTATATACTTTTTTTAAATTGATGTGAGAGGAGAAAGTGACAAAAACCAGGTAAAAATAATCAATGAAACATTTCACTTTTCACGAGTTCACGCTAGAGGAAAAGATTCACGATCGAATCCCGGATTTCGGGCGTTGCTGGGGGTATTTTTTGGGCATTAGTGGGTGCTATTTGGTCCTGGTGGAGCATTATAAGGAATCTGAAAAGATAAAACGAGATAAAGTTCCCCTGGGCATCGGTAGACATTGGCGTACGTGATATTTTTTTTTCGGTCAGCGGTGCAGCCCTCGGTATAGAAGTGAACGCGGCGGATTTGTTCGTTCCACTTTCTAAGGCGTTTTTATCTGCACAGCTGGCTTTTACACTTGTTTACTAATTCACGCCCGGGATCGATCGCTGCGGTTCATTGCGAATTTAAAACGAATTAAAACTAGGCCTGTACGCAAAGCACGATCGCGCATATCGAATACATTCCTCCGAGCGCCTTAAAACATTAATGGTAATTTGACGCACGCTGTTGTTTACAATTGACAAACTCGCTCCTCCAGCGTCGCGGTACACGTCGATAAGATAATTATCGGGCGTACGCAATCCTTTGATGAGAAACTACACCCGGGAGGATAAAAATTAAGCGCAAAGCGAAGAGCAAGGCGGTCCGTCGTTAATTTACTTGTTACGCCAACTTTTTCCAGCCGTTACCATACTAGTTTATTGCTCGACTATCGAGCCTCCGGACTAACTAACTAACGCGTCGAGGCGTCACGCTGACGCAACCGAAACGTAAGAGCCAACAACGAGTGGAAAGAAAACATCGCGCCGCTCCACATTCGCGCGCGATTATATCATCCCTCGCGCCCCTCGCGGGGCGATTCGATTCGTGCGCGCCGATCGCGCGACTCCACGATCGACCGTGCCCTTCGATCGCGAGCAATCTAGGCCGCACTTATCCGATCAGCCGTCAGTGCGCGAGAGCGTGCGGCCAATTTACCAATAGATCCACCTGTCCGGCGATAAAAGAAACGTCGCAACGAGTCGCCGCCGCCGCGCTCGGAGGCGGAAAGGGTTACGAAAGGGGCAGAGGGAGAGAGGGGGGGGGAGAGCAACCTCGTGGACGCAACACGCCCCCCTGAACATCGGCGGTCGGCGGATCCCTTTGTCCGGGACTCGCGTGTAACGCGTCGCCCGATGGTTCAAAGTCAACGCGCGATGAATCACGCGCACGCGATCCGTCCGTCTCTACGACGACGCGGACGACGCGCGGCCGATCAGCCGCGATCGCGGGCAGGCAGCCTCTCCGGCGTACCGGACTCGGGAGGCCGTGCTGCCGCTGTTTGTGTACTCACTTTGCGCCGCGCGACAGGGTCCGAGTCCGCCAGTGCGACGACGAGCAGCAGACAGAACGTCGTGGCGCTGGCCATGCCTGCCGTCGCATAAGACAACGGCGACGATACACGCGAAACGTCCTCGTAACTTTGCGCTTGTCAACACTGAACGCCGTTCGCGACACACTGACAGCAACGCGATCGCGTGGGAACACGCGGCTCCACGGCGGGCGAGCGGGTGGCCAGCGCCGTCGCGGCAGCGAGGGGAATCGTACGCCGAGGGTAATCGCTCGACCGGTATGTCTGCCGTGTCGGTACAGCGACTGGTCGCGACACTTTGTACAATACAAGCGGATTGTTATAAATTAAGGTGGCTCCCGCGTACCCCGACGGAAATAATTCTACAAAATTGTACAAGGGAATTAAACACAACCGCCGGAGTCTAAGAAATTCTACGTAAATTAAAAAAGTGTTACGAAAATCAACATAAAAATGCTAGAATGCTAAAATGCTGCAACACTTTTGTTAATTTTTGTAATACTCTACTTTTTACAAAAGTGTTTTATCTCAATAAAGAATGGCCCGCAGGGTCGTTTTCATACCTGGTAAAATTCTTGCGCGTAAAAACTGTAAAGGGGTTTTAGATTAGGTTAAATTGGATGCACTTCAGTTGCAATTCATTTATTAATTAACTGTACAGTGATATAAAAGATACGCGATACTGATAATGCAGAAGCACCATACGTATAATTATCCGCGCTGATCTAATCTGTGAATTTCTCGTGACGAAAAATGGCGTCCTCACTAAACGATAGTGACTAAAAATAAAATCTCAAACAAAACATCTATTTCCGATATTTCTGATGCATATAAATGCTCGATGATCCATGGATTACGCACTGTTTGCACGACACATAGCTTACGCTGTATAGATTATTGTATTTTACGCGTACACGCCCAACCCTGATTGACGTCCCTCCGGAGTTGATACGAGAATCCCAGCGCTATACATACATATATGGAAAAAACTAACGCCTCTGTCCGTGTTCAACATCGCGATTAAAAAGTTACAGATTGAAGTATTTCGATCGTACTTAACAAATAAAAAACGTGTCATCTCTTTTAATACGTGGCGTTCAAAGTTAGAAAGTCGCAATTGGGGCAGTGTCTAATTACAAATGGTTCTCGTCGTATTTAATGTCGCAAGCTAAATTAATTTTCTCTGAAGAGAAACTTGCTTCGCATTATGAACATAATTATTCGTAGATTTTAAAAGGAGCGTCGTGAAACAGAACAGTGATGCAGCAGTATTTCCTTCTTGAAAGAAGGAATTGATGAGGCCCGTTAATTTATAAGATCGATAAGAATACCAGGTGTAACATTCTCGTGGATGCGCACTCGTGAGCAATCAGAAATTTGCCCCAAACCTTCAAGCTGCAAATCATTGCGGTTGAATGCAGCAAGAACCAGTGAACAATTTGCCCCAAAAATTGGTCACATGCGCAAAGTTTCACCTTGTATTTTTACATCGTGAGACTATTTTAAATTACGAATATAATTATCAACATATTTATAAAAGCAAATTGCATTTAAAACATTTAAAATATATGAAAGGAGTATCGCGAGGTGGCTTTGCTTTTGGCCGAAGGATAAATCTATTTATCAAGATTGACGTTCGAAGATGCAGAATGCACCTGCCTCTCGAAATATAAAGAAAAAGAAATATCTGTAGACAAAAGGAGTCGTGCCGGAAGCTGAAGCATCGCGGTGGCAAAAGTTTCCTTTTCCGAAATGAAAAGTAGATCCGCGATCTGCGAATAGAGCGTTACGAAACCAAGAATCGTCGGGATCGACTCGCGTGCGTGCACGCCGCGTGAAATTTACGCAACGAATTCAAATCTTAAACCGGCTTCGTTACATCAAATTTATAACAGGTATATGCTCGATTTAGATATCATTTATTTCCCGCTATGACGATGCATTAATCGTTGCCTCGCGGGCTGCGCTTTCGTCCCTCGGCGAAAAATTGAAGCCGCGCGCTCAAGGATCGCGATACTCACCCAATGGCGATACTTACCCACGTCCTCCGCAGACTCTCGCGCACGCGACAGCGACACTCGGGGCGCTCTCGGGAGGACTTTTAACGTTCGGCGCGTATTGTAAATATGTAATATGAGCCGGCCTTTCGCGCCGAGAGAAGGAAACTCGTACCCCATTGGCCGTCGAATTCCGCCAACGGTGGTGGAGTTACCAAGCCTCGGCACATTATTCCGCATAGTCTCCGTGTACAATCCCGCTTTATGTACGTATACAAAGTGCCCTCGTCGCGGCGCAGGCCTTGAGACGTGTATTAAAATTCATTGTACCTGTGAAAAAGTTCTCATATCGCCGCGCCGGTACAATACGACGTTACGCCTTGGCGGCGTCGGAAGTCGCTCGTCGCGCGAGGCTCTTTGTGCCGAGAGATCGGCCTCTGGCTCGATACTACCGAGTCCGCAAATTAATATTAATATTAATCGACGACTGCGAATACTCGCGTGCTAACTCGTGCACCTGGCGGGCATCCGCGAGCGCACGTCGCTGGTAAAGTTGTAATTTCGCCGAGATAATTAGAGCTACACGGAGTATGGTAAAATTTCAGGAACTCTCATAAAGCTCTTCGAAATGCCGCGTTGTCTCCCAAGATCACATGATTTTCAGGGTGAATTTTAAGAGAAAATTCCGCATACGGAAACTACTACTAATCGTAGATACCGTTTCCTCGCGGCGTACGAAAGTGTTCTAATAAGAAAAAGGAAACCGTGCGCGAGACAGATGCGCATCCTGAAAGCTCCCTCCGTTAGAATAAAGAAGGAGAAGAAAGGCCCGGCGTTTCTGCGCGGAACGGCGGCCGCGGGTTTCGCGAAACGCGACGGAATGAAACGTGAGCGTAAAGGCCGAATCAGACTAGCGATCGTTGATTGGATTGGGATTGGCGATTGTCTTCTAGCCAATGAGAGCAAAGCCAGCGATTTAATCGACTCTCATTCGCTAGAGGACAATCGTCGATCGCCAATCCCAATCGAATCCGAGTCGGCAATAGCTAGTCTGATACGGCCTTAAGCCCGTATCAGACTACGGATTGAGATGGAGATTAGATTGAAGTTTGACCAGAGTAAACGTTACTAAACTTGAGATTAGTAAACTTTACTGTGATCGGGCTAATTTCAGTCTAATCCCAATCTCAATCAGGCTTAAGGCCCGCATCAGACTGCGGATTGAGATGGAGATTAGATTGAAGTTTGACCAATCAGAGTAAACGCTACTAAACTTGAGATTAGTAAACTTTACTGTGATTGGTCAAATTTCAATGTAATCCCAATCTCAATCCGTAGTCTGATACGGGCCTTAACGTAATTCGCCTCGCGCACGCGCGCGCGCGCTGACGCGATTCCGCTCCGCCGGCGGGTCCCTTCCGTCGGCGCGACGGCGACGGATTCCCGCGAGGGCCGACGCCGATCGCTTCCACTCGGGACACCGGGTACAGGCGGGGAAAGAGAACGTGCAAAAAGAACGTTAAGCGCGCAGACTGCGACCTTGACCGAAGCGGTGTCCGCGCGCGAGGCGAGGCGCGGCGCGGCGCGGCGCGGCGAGGTGAGGCGAGACGAGGCGAACGTACGTGCGTCCGTCTAGCGCGCCGAGGGGTTCCATTCCCTTGGCCGGTCTCGGGCCGATTTCCTTTTCGATACGGACGACTTTTTCGAGCGCGCCTCGCCGCGGAGCTGACGCTGCGGAGCGTAATTTTCCGCCGCGAGGCGAACTTGGAAAAAATGCGCGCGGGTCTAATTTAATCGTCTCCTTTTATTTCCGCGTGAAAAGGGAGAGATAGAAACTGGAGAAACGGGGGACACGTCGAGCCTGAAAAGTGTTTCCTCCATGCACGCTTCGAGGAAACGAGCGAAATTGTTGACGCATCGAGGACGAGCGTGCACGCACGTGCATGCGCTTGGCAACCGGCGCGGCGCGCGCGCTTCGGAAAGTCGAGGAAACGCCGTGGGAGAAATTCTAGCGGGCGTTCGCGCACGCACCGCGCCGCGCAGCGTTGCGCGGACGTTAGTTCGGTAGGGTTTAATTACGGGAAGTAATTACATCGGGAGGAGAGATATAATTAATCGAATCGGTAGAGACAACTGAGCCTCTCTCTTTCTCTCTTTCTGTCTCGCGCGCGCGGCGTGGCGATGTAACGAGAAAGGAAAAAGTTACCGCGCCACCTGACGAGTCTAGTTACGAAATTTCGACCCGAGCCGGCTAATTTGCCGCGCGTAATTAATTAGGTAGCGAATCGGGCCGAGGGATTTCTCCCTCGGTTTCTCTCGCCGGAGCGTCCGCGGAGGCGGCTCCGCGCGAGGACGCGGACCCGCGCGCGAGACGTGTCTCGCGCGGCGAGAAGAGCCACAATAGCGAGAGAACGCTCAAAGTCAAGGTCAGTCTGGGCACTCCCCTTCGCGTCTAACGAGAGTCGGCCCGGCGACCGCCCCCTTCGCCCGGACCGAGATTTTTCCGAGAGCCCCGGCCGCGCGAGAAGGCGAAGGCGAGGACGAAGGCGAGGCAAGAGCCGCTCTCGGGCGCGCGCGTACCTCGGCGACTTCGTGATACGGGCGCTGAAGGTCGTCGCAGGAAGTCGAGACCCGCGGGAGAATAGAACCGTCACGCATGTACCGGGTGGCGCGATCGAAAACAGGTTTCGCCGCTCTCACCTGCGCTCGTCCGCGCGACTCCGCGCGACCGTCCGGCTGCAACAAAGATCAGCTCGGACGGACATTACCGAGCGGAGTCCCGTCGATCTACCGCCGAGATCGAGTCGAGTGCGCGTCAAGATGATAAGAGACGTCGTACGGAAGACGGAATCGTATGCGATTTTACACAAATCCGTATAAATCGACGAGTGACCTCTGATCCTAAATAAGTCTTACGATTAGTCTTCCCTGTCTGTCGGAATTGAACGTTGATAGCCATCGAGAATCGTACTCGTCCACTTAACTCTAGACGCGGCTTACCAAATGTCGTATTTCATATCCTTAATCCCCGGAGGCTCGTTCTATGCAAGTGTTCGCGCTGGTCAACTTGGGAGACGGAGTCCGGCGAAGTCAAAATTACCGAGAGCGGGCAGTAATTTAACTACGTGGGCGTATACGTGCGAAATATCAAGATTGTATAGGGAGAAATGAAAAAAAGTCGCAA